TCGCCGCACCGCCCAGGTGAAATGCAGCTGATGTGACCATGTGGTGGCGCAGAGGTTAGAGAGGTGGGCTTGTGATCCGAAGATCGCCGGTTCACGCCCCGGCCCCGACAACATCAAAATTGTGGGTGGGGTAGGTGAAACACCCACACTTGCCCCCACCCTCATTCGCCCCACTCTGGGCCCATGAGCAAGGCCCTTAACCCCCACCATGTGCTCCCTAAACAGGTCTCTCTTGAAAATGAGTTCTCGTGGCTCAATGAGACTAACCGGGATAAATAAAGGCTAAATGAAAAAAAAAAAAGTGCATTTATTAAGGAAGAGTTCAACTGAGACACACCTTTACTATGATGTCGAGCAAACATATAATTGTTTTTAGGCGTTAATCTTGTTACTTTTTGACGAAACGCACAGCAAGTCCTCCCTCTGCGCGCTCCCGCGAATCGGTTTTTGAAATGCAGCTGATTTGACCGTCGAAGTGCATTTATTAAGGAAAAGTTCAATTGAGACACAACTTTGCTATAATTTTGAGCAAACAATTGTTTTTTTTAAGTGTTAATCTTCTTAAATTCTTGTTAGTCCTCCCGTGCACGCTGTCGCGGCCACCATTTGGCAGCCAATCGATTTTTGGCACAACACCAACACAACACAACTGCGGTGACGCATAATAGATGCGACTTATTTATGCTTTTTTCCACTTTATTAGACATATTTGGAGTGATGCCATTTATACGGCAGTGTGACGTGTACGGCAGCAAGTACGGTACCCAGCTCCTCACGGGTTTTCTAGTTTTCTCAATGTGTACCAGAACATCTTTTCATCAGTTGCTCTTGTGCAAGCACAATGGTAAAATCAATCTGTAGATACTCGGCTCGCTTCTTAGACACGACTAAATATAAAGCCAAAATGCAACCATAACGTTAAAATATTTGATAGAGCGTAACGAAACGCCAGTTGAATAATTGTAGTCCCAACACTTGGTTATATAAAGGCTGCGGGATGATGACTAACAGAGCTGAACGCCAGTGTACACAGACTCGCAGGAGCTCGGGGAGTTGAACAGGTGCTTCAAACAGGAGGACGATCTCAGGTGGCTCCCTTTGATTTTGTCTTTGCTCCTTTTTTCTCCCAGAACGGGACCGCCGGCTGGCAGAGAGAGGAGACGCACCACAAAGGGACTGATCTTTCTTTAAAGAGGAGGAGGAGGCAGACATGGATGCAAGTCAAGACGTGTCTTTAACATAAGGGAGGAAGTATACTGAGAGTCGGCATTTGAAAGTGGAGCTTTCAGGGAGGGAGTGACTCTAAGCTGAATCAAAAGGAAGTAAGAAATGTGTGGCACGTTTAACTCGACATGCACCAATCAGTGCAAACAGCTCGTTTTAAGCTTGATCAATGACCCGCCAATCTGACACCCAACAATCCAAGTATTTTTTTCCTCAGACTATGAACCAAAGCCAAATAGCAATGAAAATATATTTATCTGTTATTGCTTAAGTAGCCCTGTCTAAAGTATTCATTTCAGACTTATGAGGCTAAAATATAAATACTATTACTGGAGTTAGACATTGTTGATGTGTTAATAAATATACTAAAAGCAAATTAAAATAAGTTGGTTTAAAAGCACATTAAAATCTTGTTCGTTTTAGTTAAAAGTTGTTAATTAAAAAAAAAAAAAAAAAAAAAAAAACTTTAAGCCACCAAAGATTTTTGAATTTTACAAACCGGATTCCAAAAAGGTTGGGACACTAAACAAATTGTGAATAAAAACTGAATGCAATGATGTGGAGGTGCCAACATCTAATATTTTATTCAGAATAGAACACAAATCACAGATCAAAAGTTTAAACTGAGAGAATGTATCATTTTAAGGGAAAAATCTGTTGTTTCCAAATTTCATGTCGTCAACAAATCCCAAAAAAGTTGGGACAAGTCCATTTTTACCACTGTGTGGCATCCCCCTTCTTCTTACAACACTCAACAGACGTCTGGGGACAGAGGAGACCAGTTTCTCAAGTTTATAAATAGGAATGCTCTCCCATTCATGTCTAATACAGGCCTCTAACTGTTCAATCGTCTTGGGCCTTCTTTGTCACACCTTCCTCTTTATGATGCGCCAAATGTTCTCTATAGGTGAAAGATCTGGACTGCAGGCTGGCCATTTCAGTACCCGGATCCTTCTCCTACGTAGCCATGATGTTGTGATTGCTGCAGAATGTGGTCTGGCATTATCGTGTTGAAAAATGCAGGGTCTTCCCTGAAAGAGATGACGTCTAGATGGGAGCATATCTTGTTCTAGAACCTGAACATAGTTCTCTGCATTAATGGTGCATTTCCAGACATGCAAGCTGCCCATGCCACAAGCGCTCATGCAACCCCATACCATCAGTGATGCAGGCTTCTGAACGGAGCGTTGATAACAACTTGGGCTATCCTTGTCCTCTCTGGTCCGGATGACATGGCGTCCCAGTGTTCCATAAAGAACTTCAAATCGTGACTCATCTGACCACAGAACAGTCTTCCATTTTGCCACACACCATTTTAAATGACCCCTGGCCCAGTGCAAACGTCTGAGCTTGTGGAGCTTGCTTAGAAATGGCTTCCTCTTTGCACTGTAGAGTTTCAGCTGGCAACGGCGGATGGCACGGTGGATTGTGTTCACTGACCATGCTTTCTGGAAGTATTCCTGAGCCCATTCTGTTATTTCCTTGACAGTGGCATTCCTGTTTGAGGTGCAGTGACGTTTAAGGGCCCAGAGATCACGAGCATCCAGTAGAGTTTTACGGCCTTGACCCTTAACGCACAGCGATTGTTCCAGATTCTCTGAATCTTTTGATGATGATATGCACGGTTGATGATGATAACTTAAAAGTCTTTGCTATTTTACGCTGGGTAACACCATTCTGGTATGGCTGCACTATCTTTCTGCGCAACAATGGTGGAAGTGGTGATCCTGTTACCATCTTGGCTTCTGAGAGACACTGACACTCTGAGAATCTCTTTTTATACCCAGTCATGTTGACAATTAACCTAATTAGTGTTAATTGGTCTTCCAGCTGTTCGTTATATGCTCAATTTCCTTTTTCCAGCCACTTAATGCTACTTGTCCCAACTTTTTGGGATTTGTTGACACTGTGAAATTTTGAATCAACATATTTTTCCTTTAAAATGTTACATTTACTCAGATTAAACTTTTGATCTGTCATCTACATTATATTACGAATAAAATATTGACATTTGCCATCTCCACATCATTGCATCCAGTTTTTATTCACAATTTGTTCAGTGTCCCAACTTTTTTGGAATCCAGTTTGTACATAAACACTCATTTTAAACACAACAGCCACTTATGAGCATACCATCAGCCTCTTCAAGTAGCATTTCTGCATCTACTCTTAAATAAGTTTCCGCCCCTAAAAGAGTGGTGGGGTCGAGTGCCGAGCGAACCAGGCAGCCGTAGGCAGGCGCTATTTATGTTCCGTCATCCATCAGTTGACAAATTAAGCCCTGGTAATAGTTATCTACAAACGTCTGTCTGCAGCTCAATCTACGGCTCAGTCTCATATAGGCTGATAACTGAGCAGCAACTTCAGGTGACGTCTTTACCGTAGGTCCTCTGATTGTATGAAACCTTTCATTTGAAAGAAGTGGACAAAACAAAACAGTTCGTTAGAACAAGCAAACTAAAATCTGCATTGAATAAAGTTCAGTAAAGTTAATTAACGTAATTAATCAGTTTAATATCAAAATTTATTTTTAGAAAAATGAAAATGACACCTAACAAATGTACAGGCAGCCTTTTATAATCTGTCGGAGCTTCTACAGCATTATGTCAAGAAATGTAAACAAAAGCTCCTGATTTCAAGGCTGCTGTTATTTAACAGACATTTTTTGGCACATTCCAGTATATCTGACAAATAAAAGTCGGCTTTTTCTTAACGATAGTCTTTCATGGTTTGTGTACACAACCTAATTACCCAAATAACCGACAGGAAGAAAAAAATAATTAGGATGTGTTGTTAGACACGACTTCATGGCATCAAAAGTCCACATAATTATATTTCTCCATTCCGCATTTCTAAAACTTCTGGATTAAAATTTAAAGCTTTTATGCAACGTTTCGGGAGAGAATTGGATTTAGATAAAAGACGTGTTTGAGTCCTGATGGCACAGTTTCTACAACTGCTCGTTTGGAATGATGTCGTTAACTAGAGGAAGAGTCTGGAAATGACCTTTTTTAAAACTAAACAAACAATTTATTTTTGAATAAATCAAATACATTTGGTTTAATATGCTGAAACAAATCCTGTTTGAGTGAACATCATGTTGCTTTTTTGTCTGTTTTGGATGACTCTCGTTTTCTTGGCTCTCGGTGAGATAGTGGCTACATTGCAGATGGTCCAGCTGAGTGAGTGTGTGTGTGTGTGTGCTCGAAAGTCCTGATTGTTGGCTTGAAAATGAAAACGATCAGTATTCCTCTCACTCTGGAAGGAATTAGCTGCCAGAACAGTGCTTTTTCTGTCAACTTTGATCCCAGCTCTCCTCTCCGGAGCGGGAAGTTGCACAACAAACTGAACTCCTTACAGCTCGGTAATGGAGCGACGAGGGGCCGGAGCCTAAGGCAGAGTTCAGCGGGGATCACGTGCACGAGGGAGTGGAAACAGTACAACACAAGCTCAGCCTTTTCCAACTTTCTCCTTGCTTTCTCAGCGTTTTAATCAATTTCTGTCTGCTACAGAGAAAAACTAATGAATTAGTTCACCCCTCGGCTGTGAAATTATATTAGTGGTCAAATCTGGTGGTGGTGGTAACCAGTCGCCAATACGGTGCTTGAAATAATGATAGTGGTGAGTAATGATGCCTGCTGCGTGTTTTTAAAGCATTCATCGACTGAAATGCCATTTATCATCGTTACTTAAAGATCTTCATTTTAATTTAACAGGACGTGAACAGATGATGTTAAACTTTAGCGTTTTTCTGTCAAGTTTTTCCACGAACTCACCTCAGGTCCTCCGACGTCCTCGCTCGGATCAGCGGAGTCTCGACCGAGTGTCCAAACACGGCGCCTTCCGAGCCTGCCGAGAAAACTCACTCCGATGAAAATGTTTCTTTAGATTTCACATGGGTCACATCTAAACTTCAATTTCAACAACGTGCAGTCAGGTCATCTGGACGGTTTCTTTTGTTGCTGAGACGTTTCGTCCTTCATCCAAAGGACTTATTCAGTCTGAGGAGCAAATCAAACTGAATCCCACAAACAGCATACTACCTCGACTTCTCAAAGTTTTTTTGTTTCCACTCTAGGAATGTGCCGTTTGTGGGATGCAGTTTGGTTTGGCGGCTCCTCAGATTGAAGAAGTCCTTTGGATGAAGGACGAAACGTCTCGGCACAAAAAAAAGAAACTGTCCAGATGACCTGACTGAACATTGTTGGATTTACACTATATACCTGGATTATTGAGCATAAACTTTGGTGTATATTTCAATTTATTTTGACTTAATACAAAAACATCTAGAATGAGGGTCCTTGAGGGCAACTACCGTATTTTTCAGACTATAAGGCGAACTTAAAAACCTTGAATTTTCTCAAAAATCGACAGTGAGCCTTATAATCCAGGGCGCCTTATGTATTAATTCTAATTGTGCTTACTGACATTGAACTAGTGTTGTGTTCAAGACCACCTAGCCCGAGACCGAGACAAGACCAAGACTTTTGGGGTCCGAGACCAAGTCGAGACCAAGACCTCAAGTCTTGGAGTTCAGCCTTTTCACAGATTATTCGTGCCGGCTTACTTTCACTCCTGGTTGCGACATTACGTTCTGATGTCTGTATTGTATGCGAGTGAAAGGGAGTGGGTGTGACAGCGATAACAAAAACATGTATTTAGCGATGAGTCACGTTATCGCTTGGATTTGAATCGGTACGTTTTGCATCCAATAAAAACAAGAATGTTGACAAATAAACCTGACAATATTCTGGCAATTTAGTGATATTTCCAGAGTTGTGGTCTTGACTGGTCTTGAAATAAAATCTTGAGTCCTCAATGTCCGAGTCTGAGACGAGACCAAGACCATCAAAAAGTGGTCTTGAGACCTGCCTCAAGACCAAGACCGGTCTCGAGTACTACCTCCAAACCAATTTTATGTGGTACATGACGCTCAAATATCTGTCAAAGTGAACTTTTTTCAATTAATGCGCCTTATAATCCGGTGCGCCTTATAGTCCAAAAAAATACGGTATCCTACATGTTTTACTTGTTTCTCTGCTCCAACGCACCTGATTCAAAGGTTAAATTGTCCCTGCATGTTCTGCAGAAGTCTGTTAATCACCCATTGACTCAAATCAGGTGTGTTGGAGCGGAAAAACATCTGAAACATGCAGGAGTGGCCCTCGAGGACCACGATTGAACGCCCCTGATCTAGAGCAATTAAGACACGTAGACCTATGATAAACTAGAGCTGCATAGAATTAAGAAAACAGCATTGTTGTTGAGTTTTACGATGACACCATCAGCTGGAATAAACCCACATTTTCTTCACTTCTCTCCTTTTGTTCCTCATCATGATCCTCTTTTATCTCCATGGCTCTAAAGGTTTTGACCACTACTCTACAATCTAAATCGACTGTGGCTGTTCATCTGATGACAAGAAAAAACATGTCTGCCTTTCATAACGATGGGCAGTAACGCAACTGCCTGTGTGTTTCTCTGTCTGTTAGCAAAATATTTCCTAAAGCACTGGATGTATTTTAATGAAAATACCAGTAATTATTAATCGGATGTAAAATCTATAACCAATTTACTTTTGCAGAAAACCCAATTCAAGATGGCCGCCATAGCAAGAAGAAGAATAGTTATAACTCTATTTTATAGATACTGAGCTAAAAGTTGGTGTGATAAAAGCTGAGGAGTTGACGTACTTCAGGCACTAGCAGAACAAGCAAAGTCTTTATTTAAAACTTTAGCATAAGTCCACCCCCGTTTGTTAGCAAAATGTCTCCTGAAACACTGAATGAATTTTAATGATACTTTGAGAAATCAATAGATTTGCATGCACGAAAGATTCATTTTCGGAGTGAACTCTGTTCAAATTGGCCGTTGAGACAACAGCCGATGATATATTTCTTCAAGAAGTGCTGGGTTTTTACTGGAATGCAGGTTTTATCTGGAATCTTTTGCAATCCTTTGTAAAATTGAGATGATAAATTTTCGATATACAACAACTCTAAATAAAAACATCCCATTTCTCAAAAGGTGTGAAATAAAAGAACATGAATCGTATTGTGTCAGAACAAGAAGCAGATGTACAGCAGGCCCTCGTTGATCGTGGGGTTTAGGGGACCACGCCCCTCGTGATGAGTGAAAAACCGTGAAGTAGGGATACAGTAGTCCAAGTTCAAGTTTCACTCCCAATATCCCTCCTTCTGTGTAAACAAAAAATTTAACTTTCAATACTGTAATATTTTAAATGAACAATTGTTTATTTAAAATATTACAGTATTTAAATTTAAATTGTAGAGAAGCGCAGAAGGACAGCAAAGGGTTAACCGTCACAAAGCTGCTTCAGCTGGAGAAGAAATGTGGGCGTGGCAGAGATCATGACAGGCTGCAGAGGGAGCTCCTCCCTGCACCTGTGGGCTGCACACAGGTGCAGCAGGTGCTAAATCATTTAAAATAATTTATTTTTAATAAACGACTCAAGCCGCTCGTGTGGCTCATCCATCAATCAGCCAATTGTGTGTCATTTCCACTCTTACTTTGAAAAACCGTGAAAGTTGAACCACGAAGTAGCGAGGGACTACTGTATTATTGTTAAAGGAAACCCCAGCAGTGCTTCCTGCTGAGTCACTGAGCTCGTTCACCTGTGACTGTGAACTTTTCTGTTGTCATTGTGACTTCCTCCTCATCTGCAGTGAACAGGAGCCTGCCGCCGTCTCCACTCCTCACCTCCAGCCTCCGACACTGAGTCTCCACGGCTTCAGGTCCTGCAAAGACAAATGCGCACGGTGAAGCTCGTGACTTTGACAGGAACTATCTATAAACACCACATCATGCTGGAAATCAGCGTGCAAGGACACAGTTCTACCTGTTAAGGCCCCCACATACTTGGGTGTACTGTGTGGACTCAGTGTGTACTGTCCTAGATTGATCTTACTCGAGCGTATAGGTTGTCTCTGTCTCCTGGTATTTTACAAAGGTGTCCAGCCAAGACATCATAGAAAAACTAGGTGGGACACCTCCCTTTGCCCCATCTCCACTTTTTCCTCTCATTTTCTTTCTTGCCTTAACAAATCTGTCCCTGAGGTACTTCCATTTAGCTCGACAAACTGCCTCGTCCTTTCTCAGGGTCTGAGGTATTTCCTCCCACGAATTTCTTGCTTTCTGAAAGTTCTTATATTCTCTCATTGATGTACAGTGGTCCCTCGTTTATCGCGGGGATCCGTACTCTGAAGCCCCGCAATAAGTGAAAAACTGCTAAGTAGGAATAGTAATACAAATAGTAAGTACTAGTTCATTTTAGTATTTCATATATATATATATATATATATATATATATAAATATATATATATATATATATAATCCTCCTGAAAGTACTCCTTACTTCGGCTGAGGTCGCGCTGAGATGCTCTTCATCCGGTGGTGAGGTGAGTCTGGTGCTGGGTGGTCTGTTCGGGTCTTCAAAGCGTGCATAGAACTTGTTGAGGGCATCAGGCAGAGATGGGTCTTTGGGGCATTGTTCGCTCCTTCCTTTATAATCTGTTATGCACTTAATGCCCCTCCACATGCTCCAAGGGTCTTGCGAGATGAATTGACCCTCGATCCTCTGTGTATACATGGCCTTGGCCCTCTTAATACCATTTTCATTTTCATCATTTTCTTCTTGTTAGAATTGATGTTAATTATAAAATTGGTACCGAAAAAAGATCGTTCAGGAACCGACATCCAAGTGAAGGTGCCGGTACCGAAAAATTTTGAACAATACCCAGCCCTACCTACAGAGTGGGGAAACGTCACAGTGGCAAATCATCTATGCCTCTGTGTGTTGTCTCTGGCTGCTCGCTGCCTTTGCGTCTCCCCGCCACCCACCCCTGCGTAATGTCGGCGTCTTTATGTGCTCGTGTGTGAGATGCTTTTCATGATCACACTGTTGATCTTCAAACAGAGGTAAAGGCGTGTTGGGATTATTTTTTTTGTCTCCAATCTTTTTGTGTCATTTTTCACCATTTTTATCGTTTGTCCAAACAGGTCTCACTTGTAAATGAGTTTTTGAGGCTCACTGTGACTTATCTGTTTAAATAAAGGGAATGAATGGAAGAAAAAAAACCTGATAAGCACCAATAAGATGAGTCGAGTGGAGTCACACTTATCAATGGCAAAGCAGCTTATGTGTCCCTGTGATGGACTTGCGACCTGTCCAGGGTGTTCCCCCACTTTTCACAGTGACTGCTGGATATGGGCACCAGTGACGCTCCCAACCCAGTAAGGAAGAAGCAGGTAAAGATGATGGATGAATGGAATAAATGTTAGGTAACAAGTGTTGGAAATACACTGATTACAAGTTTCTAGGCTGATTCCAGGTTTTGTAAAGTTGACAGTGCAGGTTTACTTAAGGTTCCTAGAGTTTCTAAAATGAGAATATGAGGCAGAGCTTTTAGTTATCAGGGTTCTCGCTTGTGGAAACAATTTCTTGTTTCTATTTGTGAAGTTGTCTACCTGTAAGCCTAGGCTTAAGACTTTTAGATAAATCCTATAGTTGGGGCTGGTTTTGGTTTTCTGAGCTATCTCAGTTATGCTGCTACAAGTTTAGACAGCAGGAGAATAAACTGATCACACTTCCTCACTCTGCTGTTATCTTTACTCGCTCTATGCTCCATGTTTGCATATGCAACCATTGCTGTGATTAACATGTGCACTTTTGTTTATCTTCCTACAGAAACGACACCTGGACCAATCCTTCAGTGTTTGTCTTTCCTGTACTAAACCACCAGCCGGTCGAAGTAAGGCTGCAAACCGCCTCTAAAGAAAACCCAATTTTCTTTTAGCAGCTTAAAGACGTTCCAAAAGCAAACTGAGTCAGTAAAAACTTCCACACAAAAGGTATGCTACTGCTAGCCCAAACTAGCTGCTTAGCAATGGTGCATTCACTGACTGGTGGGAAAGAAAAAATAAAAATATGATTTTGAGTGTCTGATCAGCCAGGCAAAGGTCAAAGTGGTCATGCTTAAAATTGGCCAATTCCAGTCACAATTAAGTTAATTGATGTGGCCCTCCTAGCGATGGGTATTTTAAGCAAAAAACGCTTTTTGTATTCGCCTGTAATTATTCATCTTTTCTTCTAATTGGTTCAAAACGTAAAACCAGCTTGCAGCAGTTCATACTCCATACAGCATGCGCTGATTTCATCCTTTTAATCTTGCAGGGCTAATTAATCCAGACATGTGTCAGCACCACAATAAAGCTATCTGAAAATTGGAGAAAGCAGTCTCGATGAGTGCTAATCTCATCTGCAGCATTATGATTTAGGTCTGTTTCCTCTTTTGCTTAAAACTTGACCATGTCCACACGGTTGGGACTTGCTGTGATTTAAAGTTTACTCACCCAGGTCCTGCAGCTGACAAACCCTCCAAAGAAACAGAAGCTTCAAGCACAGAAGCTGCTGTACTGCTGCTAATTCTGCATGCTGGGGATCATTATCAATCATTCATTCATTCATTGGGACAATGGATCAATGCAGATGAGGATCCACGAATTCTGGCAATAAAAATGAGTTTACCCGTGACCATAGTTTCTACTTGAAAAACCTTCCAAAATGAAGTATGATGGCAGAAACAGATCCTGGGGATCTGGCTGTTCTTTTATTTTATTTTTGGGAACAGTGGATGGGTGTTAGGTCAGAAAAAAAGCACCATTAGGGAACCAATTTGGTGTGTCCAGAGCTTAATTTGTAAACCGATCAATGCCAGAAAGCAAATAGCCGGCGGCAGGGCTTGGTGGTGGTGGTGGGGGTTGTCTGGGGGTCCTCCCCCAGAAAATTTTGAATAAAGTAGATGGGATTTTGATGTATTTTAACGGGTTGTTCAACATCTACGTTTATCTACATTTGTAAACACTGCCCCCCCCCCCCATTACTTGACAGTTCTGAGCCGTCTTTTCTCCACTGAATTCACTGTCTGACTCCACATGTGAAACCTCCAGGCACTCACCCCCACCACTCTTTCAGAGGCAGAGATTTTTTTGAGTAGAAATGCTTCACTTGAAGGGGCAGATGATAGTATGTGATATTAAGAAGTCGTGTTGTGTCGTCTGTTGTGTTTAAAATGAGTGTTTATGTAATCATTTTCAGTTTACATATCCAATATAAGTTTTATTTGTTCAAGCTGTTATATTTGTTCATAACTTTATTATTAATAAGCCTGACAGTTACCAGATCCAAGCAAACAGTTGCCAGAACGCACCCTGTCAAAATAAGAGCATTCCCAGATCCTGTTCTGGAAGGATCTGGCTCAAATTAAGCACTGGGTGTGTCACTATTAAGGTATTAAAAAGAGGTCTTGCTGAAATTATTCTTCAAAGACACTTTTTTAATAGACCTTGACTAATCAAAAATCCGTGATAATCCCAAACAGAAACAAACCCACAGTTGAATGAAACAAAAAGTTATGTCTCAGATTTACACCACATATGTGCTACACCTACAGAAAAAGCAGCCTATTCGTCATCCGCAGTGAGGCAAGTGACAGTTTACCATTTCAGGGTTGAACCAGTATCTGAAGATGTGCACCACAGGAAACACTGGAGATTTACCCACTGTAAGCTGACCAGTCAGGTGTCCTTGACTGTTTCGGGCGTTCAGCGTCACGTTCTTATCTGACCGCAACACCAACAAGCTGTCCTGAGGGAAGAATAAAAAGGAAAAGAGAAACACAGAATAAAATACTTGGATTTTTTTAAAGATTAACTGTAACTAGAGAAACTGCATTTCCTGCAAAAAATGCAGTATGAATGCTTACTGCAGAAAATAAAGCTGAAAAACAACTGAAATTAGCTTAAAAAATGATGAAATGTAGCTGAAATGGAAGAACAAGCATAAATGGGTTTAACCTGTCTCAATAAAGGTTGAATGAATGAATGAAGGACAATTAACAGAAAGCTGAATTGGGTAGAAATTAGCAGAAATAAGCACAAAAAATAAGAAATTAGCTAAAAAAAAGGCTGAAATTAGCAAAAATAACCGAAAAGGCATAAAGAATCACAAACTACCAGAAGAAAGCAGAAAGAGATGAAATAAGTGCAAAAATGGTGGAATTAGCTGACAAAGCTCAAATTCACATAACAGCTTAATAACAGCTGAAATAGCAGAAAAGGCTGAAACTAGCAGAAAAAAGCTGAAAGGCGCATAAGCTGAAATTAGCTTAAACATTTTAATTAGGCTGGGGCGGCTGTGGCTGAGTGGTTAGAGCAGTTGTCCTCCAATGCGAGAGTTGGGGGTTCAAATCCACCAGCAGTCACATGCTGAAGGGTCCCTGGGCAAGACATTGAACCCCTCATAGCCTCTGATGTGTGTCCCATCAGTGTATGAATGTGATCTAAAGCTCTGATTAGTCTCTTTAGAATTATTTGTTCAATTAGTGTTGTAGAGATCTAGTAGAGTGCTCTATGAATGGGTACATGAGGACACAGATTGTAGTGTAAAGCACTTTGAGTATCTTGAAATAAGATAGAAAGGTGCTATATAAGTACAGTCCATTTACCACTTAGGCTGAAATTAGCAGAAACTACAATGAAAAATTTTAATTTTCTCCAAAAACTAAAATTAGCTTTAAAGCTAGCTGAAAAGGTAGAACAAGCTTAAATTGGCATAAAAAGCAGAAAAAACACATTTGCCCAATTGGGCTGAAAGAAGCAAAAATGAGCACCAAAATTGTAAATTATCTGAAAAAAAGCTGAAATTACAAGAAGGGGACAAAGCACATTTTTGCTAAATTCTGAAAAAAAAGTTGAAATGAGTTTAAAAAGTGTGTAATTAGCTGAAAAACGCTTAAATTAGCATTAAAAAGCTATATAGTAGCTGAAATAGTAGAAAAAACTGAAACTTGCACAAATAAGCTGAAAGGAGCATAACGAGCTGAAATTAGCAGAAAGAAGTTAGAAGAAAAATGTTGTAAGCAGAAAGAATATGAAAGGAGCACAAAACAGCTGAAAAGCAGCTGAAAATAGATCAGTCATAGAGTCAGCATCAGAGATTCTTTATTGTCATTCGCACCTCATGTCGTACATGTGGTGGAGCGAAATTATGTACACAGGGTCCCAGTTACATCCGACAATAAAATGTATAAGAAAAACAGTAATAACATCTAAGATATGAACTAAGAAAAACATCAACTAAATATACACTAAGCACTAATAGCATAAAAACATTATTTTGAACAGCAGCACGAACATGAACATGAGTCTGTGAGCAGATGAGCACGCATGAACACATCAACATGAAACAGATCAGCAGCAACATGAAACAGATCAGTAGCAACATGAAACAGATCAGCAGCGACATGATGTGATTTTTCAGTGATTATTCTAGTTAGAGATTCATGAGTCTAACAGCCTCAGGGTAGAAGCTGTTCCTCAGTCTAGTGGTTCTACACTTAATGCTCCTCAACCTCCTTCCTGAGGGGAGCGGGGCAAAAAGTGTGTGTGCTGGGTGGGTGGGGTCCTTCATGATGCAGGTGGCCCTCTTCCTGCATCTGGAGGTGTAAATGTCTGTGATGGTGGAGAGACTGACTCCAACAGGTTTCTGTGCAGCCTTCACCACTCTCTGCAAAGCTTTTCTTTCTGCAGCTGTGCAGCCTCCATGCCACACGATGCTGGAGCACAGGATGCTCGCCACTGCACACCTGTAGAAGGAGGTGAGGACTGAGCTTCCCAGACCAGCTCATCTCAACCATCTGAGGAAGTAGAGTCTCTGATGAGCTTTCTTGATCAGGCTGGAAGGGTTGTTGCCCCAGCTGAGGTTGTTGTTCATGTGTACACCCAAGTACTTGTAGCTGGAGACCACTTCCACCGCAGATCCTCTTATGTTCAGGGGGGTGTAGGTGTTTTTGTTCATTCTGAAGTCCACAATCATCTCCTTTGTCTTCTTCACATTGATGTGAAGGTTATTCTCTTTGCACCAGCTCTCCAGGTGTTCCACCTCTTGCCTGTAGCTGGACTCATCATTGTTTGTGATGCATCCCACCACCGCTGTATCATCTGCAAACTTTACAATGTGACAGCCTGGATGGGTAGCTGCACAATCATACGTGAGCAGAGTAAACAGGAGGGGGCTCAACACACATCCCTGAGGAGAGCCAGTGCTGAGGGTTATGGTGGAGGAGGAGAAGTTGTGGATCCTCACTGACTGTGGTCTGTTTAAGAAGTCTAGTACCCAGTTGCAGATGGAGGGGCTTAGTCCAAGTGTGAATAGTTTGTCCATCAGATCATGGTGTTGAAGGCAGAGTCTTTCTGCTCCACGTGGTTGAGCACAGTGTGGACCACAGAGGAGATGGCATCCTCTGTTGATCGGTTCTCACGGTATGCATACTGATGAGGGTCAGTAGTACACACCAGTAGTAGTAGTAGAGGGTCAATAAAATAGGTGAACAAATGTTTAAATTTGCACAAGGAAGCTGAAAGAAGCTGAACCAGAACAAAATGTGAAAGGAGCAGAAAAAGGTTGTAAACATCTAAAAATCTGAATGATGTAAAATGAACTCAATTCATTTTCTATGAGAGACAAAAGTGGTCGAAAAGGTTAACTATTTCAAAAAGCTAAAGTTGCACCAATACCAAAAGTCATAGTAGGACTGTCCTGAAAGAGCTGAACGTTTTGATTTATGATTTATTGAAATAGCTCAAAAATTGTGGAACGAGCAAGATGCAGAATAATGTACAGAAGAAAAATGGATCACAACAGAGTGAATGCTTCATAAACATTCACACAATAAATATATCAGTCTTAAGCATTCAGGATTATTATTAAACACAATTCATCATTTAAAATGTGTATTTTTGTTAATCCATCATCAAACTATTAGATTGAACTGTCAGTTTAAAGTAAGTTGTCTGCAGCAGAAAGCTATTGTTGGTGAACATTTTTATAAATATGGGAGTTTCAGGTCTAAGAGGTTCATGCGTCAGCTGAAGATGTGCCTTTTCCATCAGTGACACATACGTAGGTGTTTACCTCCTTCAGCTGCAGACCTATTCTGCTTTCTGGCAGTTTTTATATTTTGCAACTTTATGCCTTTCTGACATTTGAATGAAGGCACATTCGCACACGGCGTGCATACTGGTTTGGCATAGTCTGTGAAGCTTCTTCTTTTTAATCCCATTTGTCTGAAACTGCAACATGAAGGAACTACAAAGTAAAACCATACCCTCCAAACTGTCAGACATAATGTTAATGCAGAAGTGGGAAACTCAAAGTAATGTTTGCGCATTTCAAAACGCCTGCAGTAACTGTGAAGATATTATTATGTTCTTGAGAGTCAGTGGAGGGCGCAGCTAAGCAAATAGCGTCGCTAACACATATTCTGCTAACTAAAAAAAACAGGTACGCTAATGCTAAACAGGTAAAAAAAAATAGCGACGCTAACGCTAAACCGCTAAGACGACTGTCACTCGGTCTGCGTCACACGTCTTTACAGTTGCTGCTGTGTCGACCAATCACATCGCATGTACACGTAGCAAGCCCATGGTGCCTAACACCACTTATACTAACACTAACTGACATTGTTTGTATAAAAATACTGGAAATAATGTATAAAGCACTGACTAAAAGTCTTCCTTCTGGAATTCAGAAATTATTTAAGTTAAGAGAGAGTAAATATAATTTACGAGGTTTGTTAATATTTGAACAAACTAAAGAGAAAAGTAAAGCAAAATCTAGAGGTATTTCAGTTACCGGTGTGAAACTTTGGAATAAACTGAATGATGATTTCAAATTATATGTTTTTTTTGTTGCGCTTTAAAAGAGCCTTAAAATGTAAAATTATAAAAGCTTATGGAGATGTTATGTAGATGTATATATGTATTGTGTAACCATGTATGTAATGTGAGTATGTGTATGTATTATATACATGCATATTTAAATATACGGTAAATGTCTGTAATGTGTATATGTGGACAGTAGATATCTGTCATTATGTAGACTGATGAGTCTATGAACAGGGTAGGCAAGTATAAGCCTTGGCTTCAGCCTATTCCTTTTTGGTAAATAATTGATTTAGCATTTTATATTGTTTTTCCCTTTTTTTGTAATGTTTTTAATTTACCAAAAATAAAGTTGAGTTGAATTTGAGTTGACTTAAAGTTGCCAAAACCTAATTTTGCAGAATTTCGCTAACATTGGATTGTATACCTGGATTATTGAGCATGGACTTTGTTGTTTTCAACCAGTTTGACAAGACTGTCAACAAGGAAGAGGGCTGTCAATGGAGGAGGGGGCGTACCAAAGAGACCATCTTATCACAAGCAGAACTGGTTTGTTCCACTTTGGAGTAAGCTGTTCGAGGAAGAATCAGTTTTGTTGTGTTTCCTTGACTGATGAAGCCTTCTGGATTGAAGGCGAAACGTTTCGGCACAAAAAAAAAAGAAACTGTCCAGATGACCTGACTGAAAAATGTTGGAATTTTGCTAACATTTTCCAAAGTTAGTGAAAACACTAATCCGCTAAACGAAAAATTAGTTACGCTAGTAGCTGTTAGTGGATTAGTGGAACTGTGCCCACCCCTGTTGAGAGAAAACGAAACAATCCGCTCTTGTTTGGTTGATCTTGTGGTTGTTCGGCATGAATATGCTTATGCCAGCAACAAACTAACGGTTTCAAGATTTGAACTGTCTGAGCACAATCTAACA